AGTAATCTATAGAAGTAATAATATAAGAAAATGCAAGGGTAAGTTAATTAACAATAAAATAAGATTGTGTAAGCAGAATGGAAGTAAAAAGGTTGAAGGGAAAAAAATATGTCATGTTTGCTTTCTCAATTGTTTCAGCATTATTTATTTCCGCAAATGCTTGAACAAAGCAAAACAACTTAGCACATTAGTTTAGCATCAGTTTAAACGCGAAATATACAATGAAATTTCCTCTCAAAAGCGAATGCCGTGAAGCGATGTTTATCTGAGGACGTCTGCTGGTGGCACATTCTGGCGCATTACCATCACTTTTCGGCTAAAATTTATGTATATAGCAAATCGACTACAAGTACGAAGATATGCGGTACCGTTTTGTAACGAGATGCGCATACTGGAGCAGAGGTGCAGTATCAAAGCGCAGGTTCTAGAATAGGATTTATTTCATAGTCGACTTCAAAAATTCTATATTCAAAATGCATATTCGTGCTTTCAAAGCAAATTTTGTGTACCTTCCTCCTGATGAAAGGAACGTACACGCAAAGTATGTTGAGAGCATGAATGTGCACTCTTCAGCTCCGTTTATCACTAACTCTTCGACTTGCAGTGTGAATTTATTAAAGTAAAAATGGTTAAAAATAAGAACCTTCCCAGCAAATGCGTAGCATTTTTATAATCTTTGAAAATTGCAATGCAAACAGAAGAAATATTAAGTCGAAAATAAGTGCTGTCCAGGAAGGTGTGTGGAATTTTTATAATCTCCGAGATTTTTTGAACATAGGTTACAGGCAGGAGGTGTACTGGAATTTTGAGGAGAAGGAAGGGTTTAGCATTAATTAAAAGGAGAGTAAGGGTGGAAGACTGTAGGATCGGTAAGAAAGCTGATGGGGAATTACTGAGTTCAAGGAAGAAAGTTTGTTGTAGTAGCACAAAAAACTGGTCAAAAGAAGTGGCGAAATGGAAAGGCAGGAACAAACTGTGGAGGCGCCGAAGGCATCCCATGCATCTGAAGAAGTTTAAATCGTCTTATCTCAATATCAAACAGAAGAAACACCAAACACTAAGAAAATCAGTAAATTTTCCTCAATAGTAATAAATCATAAAAGATAATGTGAACTCACGATGACGCACTCCCGAAGTATCGAGTCGAAAAATTGGTTCTCTGGGCAGTCGAAAACAAGAAAAGTGCCTGAAAATAATTTCAAGAACTCCAACCCGTTCAGTTTTAAGTTACTGTTTCATTTCTGTGCGCTTTTAGTGCATTTTTGCATATACGCAAATGTAAAAACGCATATTGATTGACGATGGACTGTCTGGGTATGTGTGTGTACCTGCGTGTTCGCACTTTTTGTCATCCACTTTCAACTTGAGAACCAGAAAAGCTAGGAGGTTGAAACTTCGGGAGTATGGGCCCACACCATGCGCGACCCTCCCGTTTTAATATCATCACTCGCGTACGCCCGGGTCCCGCATACAGACGCCTTAAAAAAACATGCAAATTTTTTGGCGGGGAAGCAAGCTCGGGGACCAAAGAAGATAGACAGCTGAAACTCTGCTGAAGTGATATTCTCTGTGCATGCATAAGTTAAAGATTTCAAATTCAGCCCCTAGGCGCCTGCGGTTCTCACGTACGGACTCACGGAAAATTTGGCAGAAAAATTGCTGACTCGGTAACCAGAAAAGCCGAAAGAATGAAATTTTAAGGGATATTCCCTGTTCACGTATACTAAGATTATAAATTCAGCCCTCGGGTACACATGGTACTCACATACAAGTACGTGAAAGCTTTGGCGGTAAAATTGCTAACTTAGGAGTCAGAAAAGCTGAAAGGCTGAAACTTTGCAGTATGTCCCCCGCCCACAGAGAACTTAAAGATTTCAAATTCAGCCTCAGGTATGCGTGGTTCTCACGCACGGCCCGTGAAAATTCTTGGCGGGAAAATTGCTAGCTCGGAAATCGGGAAAGCTGAGAAGCTGAAAGTTTAAGCGGATTTTCTCAGCCCATATACAGCTTAAAGTTATCAAATTCAGCCCCTCGGTGTGTGTGTGTTTGTGTGTGTGTGTGTATGTATGTATGTATGTGTGTGTGTGTGTGTGCGTGTGTGTGTGTGTGTGTGTGGTTCGCACGTACGACCTCGTGAAAATTTTTGACGCTAAAATTGCCAGCTCGAGGACCAGAAAAGACAGAAAACTGAAATTTTGGGGGGATGCTTCCTGATCAAGTATCATGTAGTTGCAGAATTAATTTCCTAAACTTCGAGGACCTGTGTGAAACAAATTTTAGCTGCTGGGATTCCAAGCGATCTTACATCAGCACGAGATACTGCAAAAATGTATGACCGCACGGGCCCGCCCGGTGCGCATCGCCAGTGACTTTTATTTACATAAATGCAAACAAAGCATAGAAGAAATTGATTTAAAAAAATATTTTTTTAATAACTCACTATTCAAGCATAAAAAAAATTTGTCACATGATGACGGATACGCATAAAGTCCTACTCGATTCACTGAACAGAAGTGACTGATTTTGCTGGGAAGAATGAATTCTGTTGGAGCAGATACTGGCGAAGAGGATACAGGAATGGATTCTCCTGCAGCAGTCACTGGTGAAGAGGACACAAGAATGGATTCTGTTGGAACAGGTGCTGGTGAAGAGGACACAAAAATGGATTCTGTTGAAGTAGGTATTGGTGAAGAGGACACAAAAATGGATTCAGCTGGAACAGCTGCTGGTGAAGAGGACACAAGGATGGATTCCGCTGGTGCAGGTACTGGTGAAGAAGACACCTCAGCCAAGAAATGGCCATTCTGAAATCGCATGGTATGGAAAATATTACTTATATTGTGTAAAGTGTAACGGAACAATGTTTTTTTGTCTTCAGCAGTACAATGGTTTAATTTTAGCAAATAGTAAGGTCAGGAAATTGTTAAGAATTGAAAGAGACGAAAATTGCCAGAAGAGTTTAGCAGTTTTTTTTGAAGCGCACAAAGAAGGGCACAAGATGACCTGCTGCTGCTTCAAGCCGCCTAGCATCTGAGCTATGGCTGAAATCAGAGGGAATTTGACATGGCCAGCATGCGCACAATTTCCATTGAAATCATCGAAATCCAGCGTCCAAACAAACATCCCTCCATAACGTCTTTTTTTCAGCCACTCAACCTTCAAAGCAAAATTACAACTTGCGCTGCAGCATGCTGTACTAGTAGCAATACCGATCGACAGCTGCCTATTAATTCACAAAAGATGAATCGCTCTTGAAACTGTATATATAAATATTTACTTTGGCTCGAAGAGAATCGACGTCGTCGTATGAATACCATTGATCGCCGTAAATCAGATAAGGCGCTTTTCTCGTCGAATCCCATCGACGTACCGCAGTCTTAGCAGTCAGCCATTCGCAAATCTTACAACAAATACCAAGTTTCTTTTTTCTTTTCTTAATTTTTCAGTACTTCTCAGCCATATTTCTGGTTATTAATTATAAATAGCAGCGTACACCAGAATAACCGGTGCGATCATGTGTTTTGTGCAATTCCTTTCACCGAACGATTGCCTGTTAATGATTTTCACTGCTTTGCACTTTGGCCTGTGCAAAAATAGTTGAAATATTGAAAAATAGTTAAAATTTAACGCATCGGCACGTGAAAGCGGAATTTGAAACCTCGAAGGGAAAATATCCTCCCAGCGTTTTGATCTCCTAATTTTCTGCTTCTGCTTTTGAACGGTCTTTGAGATAAAACTTTCACATGGTCGTACTTGAGACCTCGGCATACTTAGGAACTGAATCGGGGGGAGGAAACATCCTCCTGAAATTTTTTTCCCCTTAACTCTTCTGGCTCCCAAGATAATGATTTTTCCCGCTAAATCTTCCATGGAGATGTTGAAAATTTGCGGAGTTTTACGTGGGCAGGGGATGCCACGCCAAAATTTCAGACTTCTTGCTTTTGCAGCTCTCGAGATAATAATTTCCCTATCAAAACTTTTACTGGACCGTACGTGGCACCCAGGAGTGCGAGAAGGCTGAATCCAAATTTGCAGCGGTTGCACGTTTATAAAGGACATCGCCCTAAAATTTCAGATCCCCAACTTTCGTGGTTTCTGAGATAATAATTTTCCCCGTCGAAACTTTCACGAAGCCGTATGTGATACCTGAACGCGCGGGACGCTGAGTTTGAATTTGCAGTATCGTACATGGGCAGAGGGCCATCACCATAAAATTTCAGCTTTCTAGATTTCGTGATTCCCGAAATAATAATTTCCCCGCCAAAACTTTTTACGGGGCCATACTTGTTACTCGCGGGAGGGAAAGGCTGCTCGCACGTCAGTAGAGACATGCCCACAAAATTTCGGCCTTCTAGCTTCGGTGGTCTTTGTGACAATAATTTTACCCGCAAAACTTTTACAGAGCCATACGTGTTACTCGCGGGTACAGGGAGACTGAATTTAAATTGGCGGAGTTACATGTGGGTGGGAAACATTCCCCTAAATTTTCAGCTTCCTAGCTTTTGTGATCCCTGAGTCGAAAGTTGCGGACAAGTTGCTGCGGACACACACACACACACAGGCAACCTCATGACAATATGCATTTTGTACTGCTGTTACACAGCGCAAAACGCATAATAAACTGCTAAACATGCGGCAGAACACTCCTCCCTGCAATCGGCGAATTCAAGTGCAACAGCTAAGTCGTCTCTGGTTTTCAGATACTTCTTAGAGACAGAAGTCTCACTTCAAAATAAGCGGCAATGCCAGGCGTGCAGGCAAATCTCGTTTTTCGGGATATTGTTCCCGGTGCGCCAACATCGGTCATTGTCGCCTCGTGCAACGTCCATCCTCGCCCGTATGCTGCCACTCCCACCAATATTTTTTCACGTGGCATGCCTCCTTTCTCCCAATAAGCAGCAGCTTGGTCCTGGAAGTTCCATAATTCTATAACCACAGATGCATTGCCCCAAAACTCCTCTTAATATTGCCACCAACATGAAAGAGTATTTGAAAATTTACATTAGCTATGGAGCAGGCTGTCATAATCTTTGCCGTCATGCATTTGCACCAAATTTAATTTTCTTTTTACAGATCACATGCACACACAGCAAAAATGCGTACCGGACCGTGATGTCGGAGAAGCCCGAAAAATTTTAATGTAAATTTATCTGAAGATAAATTATCTTGCTTGTAAGATGCAGGAAGTTTAAATATTATGCCATCTAATTAAGTTGAAGATTTTGTGTATCAGATTTTAGGTGCTGTAACTTTATGTTTAATTTTATGCCATCTAATTAACTTGAAGATATATGATTTTGTGTATTAGATCACAGGCGTTGTAATTTTATGGTGTCTAATTTAATTATAAATATATTGCTTTGTTTATAAGAACCAAGAAAATGTAAATTTGTGCCTGTTTATTTATGTGAGGA